AAACAATGTAAGTAGTGTAAATAGTTACAATACCTCATGTCAGAAATATAGACAGAAATTTGAGCTTTTTTTAAATCTTTTTCCATTAACAGAATTAGATATTATTTCTATTTATATTTTAACACTGCTTTAGCATATTTGTATTGATATTAAAACTGGAAGAATTATATATATTTTTAATAATACACAGCCTTATATAGGTAAAATAGCTTTGAGGTTATTGTTCATTATAGCAAGATAATTGTATTAATTCCATTCTCAGTAAAGTCTGCTTAGGAAAATATTGTTTTATAGGATCATAGATATAGAGGCTGATTATTTATTAATTAGTGTATCAATTAACAGAGATGGCATTTCATTACAATAATAATTTAAATTACTGTAGTTCTACATAAGGGTAGAACAAGATAAATGCTACAAGTATTTATATTAGAGCAGATCACATGACACCACTCTTGTATGTTCAGATTTGAAAATGTTCAGTTTTACTTGTGCTAAATATATGACAGCCAGAATCAGCCATTGTTATCAAAAACTGTTGTTGTAGCATTTTCCCCATTTCTCCTTTAGTAGAAAAAAAAAGTAACTTTGCCAACAGAAATAAAATAGGGCAGCATATGTTATAAGGAGATATTAGCATCCTCAATAAAAAAAAAAAACAGGAAAACCTTCCCGTTTTCATTTTTATTTAAGTTGTAGTATAAAAATAAAGTGAACGCATAAATTTAAAAGAAAATTTTATTGCCATGAATCAAACAAGTTTAGTTAAAATATAGACTTTAGTAGCTGTTATATAATATATATATTAATATTATGCAAACATCTTTATAAAACAAAAAATTTTTAAAACAGTTTCTTATCACTAAATCTGTGTATGAAATTTTAAAATTTGTGTGATAATGTTTATTTTACTACAAACATTGTATGCAAAATAATTTCTTTTCAATTTGTGGATAAAATTATAAATATTAGATTTTTATTTGATCTATATATCCCATTCATAAATTATTGATTTTGCATGAAATATTTAAAATAGACTGTACCTTTTAAATATGCATGAATGTAAATACATCCATAAAAGCACGCCCCATAAAGCAACAGAGAAAAAAAAAGAAAGTGAAATGATAAGATTATAAAAGAGAAAACTGAATATAAATACAGACTTTTGTTTTGTTTTATTAAACTTCAAAGATGTAATTATTTTAGTATTAAAAAATCTACAAATTTGAGATTACTTTTTCTAATAAAAAAATAAATAAAAATAAATTCTGAAATTATTTACCTGACAAGTCAATTATTCCTTTTCTTTTTCTTGGCTTGTTAAGAATTAAATATTTTGCAAACCTAAGCTCAGGTAGAATTTGTTCATCTAATTTTTAAATGAACATTCACCAAGATGTACCAGATCTTCTAACAAGGTATAGCAGCATTTAAGGTTTCAGCTCAATTGTACTTATAAACATGATAAGGATTGTAATTTGCACTTCGTTTACTTGATTAGATAGGAACAAGAGGTATTAATTCAACATTATCAAAGTGGTAGAAGGCTAGAGACATAAATACAATGTTTAATAAGTAAATATTAAAATAGTAATTGTCAAAGAACAGTTCTCAACCTTTTTTTTTGCCCAATGCACCATATGTCAGAACATCATCCCCACCCCTTGGCAAGATTGTCCAACTCAAAAGATGCATTCCAAATAATATGCATATATTATTGAAAATCTATTCTTTTCCATGTTAATATGATATGTAGCATCTATTGGTCTTGAGAGACCATGGATCTGCACCCAAAAGAGTTATTCATGATGGCAGCACAGCATCTGTTATGGCTGTACAGGCCCACATGGGTTTATGTCTTAGTAAGTTTTAAATGTTAGGATTTTATTTTCTGCTGAATCATGAAGTTAACAATTAAGATGAAAATAAAGAGTACAACTTTCTGCTTCTATTTATTGTCAAAGTTTAGAAAAAAAAAATAAAAATAAAAAAGGTTAGTTTTACTCTTATTAATACAAAGATATCTTAACAGCAATGAATTAGATGTTAAAGAATTAAAGCGTACTATAGTGCCCCCACCCCAAAAAAACTGCACTGTTATGATATCAATATGATATTTACTTCTATTCTAAATAAAATTCAAAACTAAATGTTTTTTTGACTTACACTTGAACAATTTGAATAATTTAATGTATACAAAATAATGTATACTGTTACTTATATTCATCCAATATGAGGCCCAATAGCCACTCAAGTTAGAGGGTTATTGAGTTATGTTGCATGAGCATAAGAAAAGACAAGAAGTGAAATTCATGGGTTTATGCATGAAAGATAACAGTTAACCCAAGCCTTGAAGAGGTCAAGATTGTAATGAATGGGAAAACATCCTGCCAGGAGTCAGTTCCACAAAGCAACAGTTCTTGGGAAGAAACTGAGTGTAATATGAAGGGAATGAAGATGATTCACCCTTTTGTACATGGCAGATTCCATTTGTAAAGGTCAGCTAGCTACTGCCACCTTGACATTTCAAACAATACAAAAATTCTTATATATTTTGTTAAAAATAATAGCATATAATAATAATAATACACACATAGAAAAGTGAATCATTAAGTCTAGCCTTACATATTGTTATTAGCCAAATTTTGATCTAAAGTTTTCACTGTATAATGTTTAATCTGTGATGAATATTCACCACCAAATTAAGTCTATTAATAAGGAAGAAGATTATACTGAAAAATAAATATGTAAAATATAGGCCTTTTTCAGACTTAGGCTACAAACGTTTTTATATATATATATATATATATATATATATATATATATATATATATATATATATATATATATACACACACACACAAGGTGTATCAAAAATACTTTTTACAAACTTTGGAGGCGAGTTCCTCACACTAAAACAAGTACAAAGTATGGATTGAGGAAGACCAATTGTACATTTAACAGTGTCTACGGTAAACTTGAAACAACTTAAAAACAAAAGATTTGCAGGCATATGTCCCTTTTGTCCTTGTTTTGGTGTGAGGAACCTGCCCACAAAGTTTGTAAAAGTATTTTTGATACATATATATAACGTTTGTATCCTAAGTACAAAAAAGGTACATTAAGAAAAACACATAATTTTGTGTCACTTAATTTTACAGATATATTTTTTGTGCTTTTTTCCAAATTATCATATTTCTTAAACTTTTTTTTCCAAAATGAACTTTGGACAATTTCTTATGGAATTTCCTCCTTGTCTGTCAAGGAATTTAACTAAAAGATTATATGAACACAAAACGAATATTTTACTAAACAACACATTAAATGCATTTGTTGCTCACTGTAATGAGACTGATCACAATTTTGATATAAAAAATTATCACAGTGTGGGATATCTAATAACAAAAGTGATGGAAACAAAAAGAAAAAGAATCTAAGTGAAATCAGCTAAGATTATAGGCCCAAAACACATAAAAAAAAAAAGAAGAAAATATGAAATAATTTAAAATTTAGAATTCTTGGCATTTCTTGTTTCTAGGTATGTGTAGTCGCACCTATGTAAACCAATTCAGTCTGATGAAGTCCTAAAGGACGAAATGTATCACACAAAAACATTTTTCCCACTTTGTCATATATTTAAAAAAAAAAAAAAAAAATTACCTCAACATAGAAGATAGTCTATTTCATTCATGCAGCTATCATTAGCCTATTTTAACTAATATTACTAGGATCCACCCAGATTATATACCAACAGATTGATTACCTGTACTATATATATATATATATATAAAAAGTAATGCATCTTATTTTATTATGTTGGAATACAATGTCAAAAGCAGGGTGGTATAGCAGTAGTTTGAACTTTTTCACCAAAAAATATCTTTTTTGCCCTATTATAAGTACCAACTGAATGGTAGACTGACAAAATAGTGTTAGACATGAAAGTACATTTGAAGTAAAAATGCATTATTGCATTCCTCCATGAGTAAAAATTGTAGTCACTGATACTCCTTGATGTTTATTGAACATTTACAAAAACCAAACAATGAATATGAACACAGTCAAGTGGTGGTTAATGCATTTTAGCAGTGCTAACAGGCCACGTTTTGGGAAGCATTGCAGAGCTGTTACCCTCCTGCCAAAGTGAAGAAATCTTGTTCATTGTTGGTGAAATGGCATAACCACTTGTGGAAGAATAGTGTTTTATAGATGAAAACTAGCTTTATCCATCTAGCTATTATGATCTCTGTATCTGTTATAGTTTCCATGGAAATAAATAGGAGGCATTACTTTCAGAACATCCCTTGTGTCTTATATTCCTTATAAATTTATATTGGCTTCTAATATTCGTAGTGATGAGCTTAAAATGAATCCCATTATGTTTGTATATTTCTTTTTAACTTAAAAATCTGCAAACTCAAATTCTTATATAACTTTAATTTTTTGTTTCATTTTTCTCTATATAATCTTTAATTTGAACTAGAGATATAAACTTAGTATAGGAATGTTTGATAATCAATCTGCCTTTGTTTCAAGATATAGTTGGTAGCTTTTCTTGATGAGTACTATTAGCAAACACAGACAATAAAAGCCAATTACTTTACATTGTTCCTCAAGAACATGTTTTACAAGATGTTATTATTATAACAATATATAAATACTGACTGTAGACATAAGTAAGTAACAACTGAAAGGATAGATAAAACCTCATCTCAGTAGATAAGAATAAAAAGAAAAGCGATAGAAGATATAATCAGAATGACTGAAGACGTTATTTTGTGATTACAAACCTAATTTTAAGCTTTAACGAGATTCACGACAATTGACTTGAGATCTAAAGTGATGACAACATTTCCTAATTGATCGTTGCAATCCTAAAACAATGTGCTCGTTTCACATGCAGGGTATTTAAGAGGAGAAAACAAATGAATAAGGTACTGATTTATCAAACATTTAAACAAGTGGTGATTATCCTATACATGTTAGAAATAAATACTCACAAAAAATTGGTAACAAAAACAGCTTTTTTTCTTTTGCAGACAGATCTGTTTGAAAAGTTAAAAATCACAAGTAAAAACTTTGAACCAGTGTTTCACATTAAACTTCGTTTGTTTTTTCCTCAGGCTGAATATACCTGTGTTAGCATGAAGAGATCCAGGATATACTTTGACTGTATACTAGAGATAAACTTACGCAGCAATTAGTAGAAGGATAGGAAGTTACAATTTTACATGTTATCTGTGGGTGTGCATTATGCCTATTTGTATACATACACATAAGTGTTACTATGACGTTGTATATATGGGTGTAGGAGAGGAAGAACAGAATGCTGTAGCCTCTCATAGGCTTGTTTATATAAGTGTTGCTGAAAGTAGTTGCAGATATATGTGTGTGTGTGTGTGTGTGTGTAACACACACACACACACACACACACACACAATTTCAAGTTTTGTGAAATTCAACCAACAATGTCTGTTTAATTTTTATTGTATTTTTCCAATTTTTGAATAATTTGCTGCAAACTAAAATAAAAATTGTGCATAAACTATCCAAAGTTTATGTTTTATTTTTGCTCAAATACTTTCAACTGTCTCAGTTATTGACAAGAACTGAATGGTGTCACTATGGTAGACACAAGTTACCAAAACCTGTTTCTGTAGAACATTTACTGTTTAAAAAATTATATATATATATATATATATATATATATATATATATATATATATATAATTCACAAAATATGCTTTTCTGATGTGCTGAGAGAATGGTGAAAAATTGTCAGCTTCACCCATTTTCAAAAATCTTACCAAAATAAACAGTAGATTTTTTTTTTTAAATTTCTTTTTGGTTAGACCAAGGATCTTTCTACAATCCTATATATATATATATATATATATATATACGCGCATGCACACACATAAATAAAATCACACACATAAATACATAGCTGCACAAGCAGATAAATCTATGAGGAAACCTGAATGTTGCCGAATCCAATGGAAAATTTCAAATAAGTGTATATATAAACACAATTAATGTAAAAACTCATTTTCATTCAATTTTAAATCATTATATTCTTTATTTAGTTATAAACATCTGTCCTTTGCACTAACTTGCTACTCATTATTCAAACTCCCTCATTGCTTTTTTTTTTTTTTTTTTTTTTAATCATCCTCTGCCTGGTACTAACACTAATTATTATTGTTGTAAAAATTAAAATACCTAGTATTTAACCTTTTCTCACATAGGGTCATACATTATAAACTATTATATGATAATCATGTTTCAATCATTATGAACCTGTGAATATGGAACAGGCTAATTGTAATACAAAGATGAATCAAGGAAGTTTTAAAACTGTCGTAACATAGAATAAAATAACTATGCTTAAGGCTGAATTGATACAGTTTTATAAAATATACAACCAGACATAATTAGCCTGCTGAATAAGAGAAGTATAATTCATTAATTTTTAAAAGTTAATGATTACAAAAAAAAAAAAGAAAGAAACTATTATAGCAACACAGATATATTAAAGAAAATGAACACCAGAAATTCTTAAAACTTCTCTTTAAAGGGCATCATTTTTTTTCAACGTCTATATATCTATTTGAAAAATACAAAATAATTGAAAAGCAAACAACATTTTGTTTTACATCAGAATTAAATAAAGTTTATACTTTACACCAGAGAAAATGAAGGCTTTATAAATTATATCACTTTCATTTTGTTTTGCACCACTCATCCTGAAGTTTCCAGGATTGACTAAATGCTATACATTTACATCATAAATAATCTTTTGAATAGTTCTGTACTCTGTACAGTTAATAAATAAATTATTCAGTAGTCAAGCAAAGAAATCCACCTTTAATAAATTTCTCCAGAAATGTTGAACCTTTGCTTGATTACAATTGCAAGATATAAGTCCTATTTTGGCAGTATTAATAAAAAAAAAAACAAAAAGAAAAAAAAAACAAAAAGAGAAAGAGAGAGAATGTCATTAATATAGAGTCAAATAATCAGCTGATCATATAAGCAAAGTGATATGGTTGACAGGTTAAGATACTCAAGTAGACATTAAGCTATCTGTGATTTCATTGTAGTTGATTTGATATTAAGCTTTAAAATAAAGTGCCTGAAAGGTGGCATAAGGTCATAGAAAGTTAAGGAATGAGGCTATGAATTTATATGAATAAAAGATTTTTTAGCAAAAACATGCTGGAAACTTTTTCTTTTTTTTTAAAAATCAATATCATCATTTGATTATGCTGCTAAGCAAGTCAATAGTATTTTATTTGCTACATTATCCTGTAAATAGTATTTTATTTGCTACTTTATCTTGTAAATTCTTATTTTATATTTGTCTCCAAGAAGGCTAGTTTAATAAAGAATTCAAGAAATTGTATTTTATATATAAAATTAACATTAAAGAAAAAAACAATATATTCAAATCTATTTCAATGGATAATATTTGGAGAATAGATCAAATTTAGTTTCAAACTTTGGAAATTGCAAATCACTTTCTCTTTACAGAATAAAAACATAGTTTTAGATTTAAAATGCCTAAGATAATATTATTTAACAAACTGCCAATACATGTGCAGCATATAACAATCCCTAATTTATAAATATTAGACTTCCATTTCAATATAACTAACATGTTTATCAACTTATTCTAGATACTTATATCTTTTGGCTATTGTACAATTTACAAGTATAACATTTGCTCAAAGTTCTAACAATTAAACAGCATCTCAAATAATTAACCACTTAATAGAATCAAAAGGCTTATTTGCTAAATGATGGCAACATCTGCACAATTAAGATGACAGTTGGTTCCTTCTATATGGAGTCATTTGTATAAATTTTTATTTTTTTAAACTTTTGTTTATCCAATACATGGCCCAAGAGCAATTTACAGTAAAGGGTTCCTGAGTAGGATTGTTGTAAGGCACAAGGAAGCAGGAGGAAATGCATATTATATGGATATGTAGGATGGATAGTAGTTGACCCTAGACTTAAAGGAGTTAAGATTGTAGTGGTTAGGGAAGTATACTTTCAGGAGTCTGTTCCACAAGGTAACAATTGTGGGAAGATGCTGAATGGAACTTACTCTTTACCAAAAGAACACAAAAGGAACATAGATGATCTGCCACCATGTACATGGCATGGTGGGTCTTAGCTGTAAAGATCTGAGCTTGTAGGACTAAGGAATATAACTAATTAGAAAATTTGCCATACAAATAGCAATAGAGTAATGAGGAGCTAGTAATGTTTCATGTGTGTGACGAGAGAAAGGTAAATATGGCAGCAATATTCCATTCTTGAAATGTTCAGAACTTTTAATTATCCACTAAGTAAGCAGATTATGAGACTGAAAATTTAAAAGTAAATTCTGATTTGATAGACAAAGATAAATATATAAGATATTTTTAATAACTGTATCATTAGAAAGATACTTTTTCTATTTGTTGTCAAAAACATTTGACTAAATATTTTGCACATTATAAGTTTTAATTACAGCATAATGTTTCTTGGAGTTTCATTAAGTTGTGAAAGTTAGAAAATCTAGAAAAATTCATAAACTGTTACTACATCGTAAAAGTGACATGTAATTTACTATAATTTATACATAATATGTGAAATATCTGGCATATTAATAATGCAAACATTTCATTCAACCCATTGATTATTTTTCTAAAAATTAAGAAAACTTAAAAGTGGCTAATAATTTAGGATATAGTATGTCTAGTTATAAGTTAAAAATAATAGATAAATAACAACACATGAGTTAATCATTGACAAGTAGATAAAGTGCAGAGTTTAGAATTCTATGGGAATCTGCGTATAGGGAAAAAACTGAATGATGATAATTGCCAGTTGGCCTTCTCAAATCTAATATTGACAAATATAAGATAAATAGTGGGTCGGGGGTAGTGACAAAGTTCTCTGCTTGGCCCACTGCCAAAAATTTGACCAAATATCAGAATTTATTTTGGAATGTCATCTTGGTCAGGCTGAGAAATTTTTCATTAACTCCTCAAAAAAAAGAAACTTCTGCTTAGATTGTATCATACTTCTTTATGTGCCATATCTCCTCAGGATGTAGGTGATCATGGCTCTCCACAATTTCCTGTCCTTTGTAGCTCTCAAGATTACAACTTAGATATCAGATTTTATTCTGATCATAAATTTGTTTTTTAAAAAAATAAGGGATTTGTGTTTGAACTTAACAACATCACACCTACTTTGCAGTTATTGCACTTTAAAAACTCCCCCATACACCAAACAATCATAAGCTTTAACTTATGACCCCTTTCTAATAACTTAAATTTATTGCATTTATGTACATATAACTATTTCTTTTATCAAAAAGTAAAATAAAACAAACACAAGCATTTATGAAAGATGCTAACGAGAAAGAAGCAGCAAACTTCCTAAAAAACAAAGCGCATATCCAAAACAAGAGTCATACTAAATGTTTATTTTTAGGGGTTATTTTTCCGGAAATATTTTCACTTTTTAGTAATATTTCTAGCTAACAGTTTCCTTTCATTATTAGTAAATAAATAAATACTCAATGTACAGCCATAAAACATGATAAATATTTATTCAAAGAAAAATAATTATAAATAATACATAAAAAAAAAAATTATCAGCATAATATCTGATTAAGTTTTAGGGGATAACTTACCTAAGAGAGTACAATTTGGTTTTGCTTTTTCTCTTAACAAATTTATAGCAAGTAAGTTTCAATATTAAAAGATTTTCATTAGTTATTTACCTCATTTATTCAGTTTAAAAATAACTGGAAAATGATTATGATATATAAGACCTACTTTTTTCTCTAACCAAAATACCTAAAATAAAAAAATAAAATCCCTGGAGACTTACATGCAAAGTTCAGGTAGATGATAAACCTATCAGTATTTATATCTAGTATTACTCTATAATATTGTAAACATAAACCTAGAGTGGTGCCTTATATATCATAAAATATGTCAAGTTATTTTAAATGAAAAGCTCAAGTGTAAAATTAATATTCAGCTGTATGTTTATATTTAAATTTTTTTTTTAAATTGTTTCTCTCCAAGCAAGGTGACAATGCCACTAGGATGCAGGGGGTTATGAGGGAGTGAAAGAAAATGAGAAAACTTAGCAAATTATTTATATGCTGAACTTAAATATATCTCATATTATTTATCTACATAATTTTAAGACTACAATTTCATTGAAAAAGAAAAATTATTTGTCAGGTTTCCTCATTTTCTCAGCAGGGTTCAATTATTTTTTCTAATTTATAAACAGCCTCAAAGCAAACATTTCATAATAGCCGATATTAA